GGTGGAAGCAGTAGAGGCCGTAAGCAAGGGCGGCCGCCGCGCCTAGGCAGCCTGGGGAGGGACAAAGCAGGTGGGGGAGTGGCAAGTCAGGCTCTACAGATCCCCCGCTTTGGGCCTCCTTTCTGAGGGTGAAGAGCTCAACAGCAGGTGAGGGGTTAGCGTGAGGCTGAGGTTGGAGGGGTTCGTCCAGGCAAAGTTGTGGGAGATAAAAAGGTCCGCCCCATCCCAGGCTCCCAATCCCTCCCTGCTCCTCCTGCAATTAGATTCTACACTCATCGCAGGGTATCACTCGACACAACTGTGGTCCAGTCTTATTCCGGTCCCCCCTGGTATTCCTCGTCCTCCCCTATTTCATTTCCCCTGCCACCACTGTCCTCCCGGTCTCCAGTTCCTCCAGCAGCAGTTCACCTATGGGTACCATTGGGTTCTCGCGGGTCTTGCGAAGGAACTTTTACTTGAAGGTTTCCAGACTGCTGTAGTTACCTGTACCTTTACCTTTCATGGCCTGTTGGTCCAGCCCACGCCATCACACCTGGGCAATAGAGCGTTCTGCCCCAGTCCCCCTCCGAGTCATCATTGCTCTGGCCTAGCCCGAGGCATCTGCGGGAGCGGACAGAATGCTGTACTGGGGTTCAGCCTCGGGGTGATGCAGCTGAAGAACAAACAAATGACCGAGTCGGCCACCTCCAGGCAGAACATGAGGACTTTCCCTTGCTTTTAAGGTATCTTGCCTCCTCCCTCTTCACGGGCTGAGAGGGACACCAGGAAAGGAGCGTGCCCTGCCCGCTATTCTTCCCGGGCCGGACCACTGCCGACTAGGGAAGCCCGTCTGGTGCTCGCTCCTCCAGCAGCCTCCAAGCGTCCCTCTCGCACCCTTCCCCGGGCCTGGCTCCGCGAGGAGACTCCCGGCGGGCGGCCCCGCCCACGAGGGCGCGGTTTAAAGGGCCAGGAGGGCCCTCGAGCGCGGTAGCTCCCCTCCCCGCTCCAGTCCAGGCCGCACCCACTTGGGGGCGGTGCACCGGGGCCTATTTCAACCGCGGCGGGCGCAGCCGCTTTAAGCGGGGGTGGGCCAGCGCGCCGCGAATCGCGGCTGCCGGGGCTTCGCTTGGGGTCGTAGGTGAAAGCTGCAGGAGGCCGGCCGCTGAGGTCGCGTAAGTGCGGGAGCTCAGTGGAACTGCCCCGGGAGGTGCGCCCGGCGGGCATATCGGGTGCAGCGCGGTCCAGGCGTGGGGAGGCCTTTGCGGCGCGTCGGCTCCGCCTAACGACGGAGGCTGTGTGTGTCTCGGGTTCCCCAATTCCCCGCCTTGGCCCAGTCCAATCCGCGGCCTTCTAACCTCCGGCGTTGCCTGTCCGAGCTGGTGAGCAACGGGAGGCGGAGGTCTAGAGGCGCGGAAATTGGCCCTCGGCGCTCGCCGTAGCAGAGCCTGGGTGGCGGATGCTGGGCGTCCGGGAACGGTGACAAAAGGAGGGAAGCGGAGGCCCGTTTGAGACCGGGAAGATAGAGCGTGGGGTTGGTACAGCGTTTTCCCAGAGGCAGCCCGGGCCAGCTTGGCATCTCCCGGCCTCCACGCAGGCACCTGGCTCGTCTAGCCCGGCGCGGAGAGCGTAGGTAGTGGCTACGACAGCGCCCCCTCTGGCTTGGCGGCGGCGCCTCAGCGTCCGGGCGGTGGGGCGGGCGACTGGGCGGTTTGCTAGAGTGCGGGTGCCGCACAGGCTCGGGCCTGCCCACCCAGGTCTGGACATAGGGCTCTAGGGAAACCAGGTCTGGCCCTTCGGCCCCTGAGGTTTTCCAGCTGCTCTCCAACGGACATGCGAGATGGAACGTTTTCACTTCTCAGGGACTCCCCCAAGCCGGAAAGCGGAGCTTGGACCCTGGGGACCTCGGGAAATGGAAGAGTGGGCGAATCCGGTGCAAAGGGGTTCCGAGCCTTTGAGAAGTTTAGGCACGACCAGAAGTTTGTTAGGCAGGGAGAGGCCGTGATCCCGTGACTTGGGTCCCGCGAATGGGGATGTGGGGTCTTTAGTTTGGAGGAGGGAGTGTGACCTAAAAGGAGTAATAGGTCATCTTCCTGCAGAGTTGACAGAGTCCTTTCCTTTGGTCTCCTTAGGGCCTTCTCCTGCTTTAAGCCAGAGGAGTGGGGCTTCTGGTGGGCCCTGTTAAGGAGAACAGCTGTGGGTGTCCTTTACATCAGAGGAGTGCTGTTTTGGTGTTCTAGGAGAGTGGCCAGAAGGACCTTTGTGGTGTCAGGGTGTCCCCATCACTGGGGCAGAAGTGCGAGTTACAAGGCAGTGTATCCGGTGGTAGGGCTTTTGAAAGGCCTGCGGAAGAGTTATTGGTGTATCTGTTGAAGAAAGAAGAAAATCAAGTCAAGAAACTGCTTCTTAAGGCAGAGCGAAATTAGATATGTGCAGGGAGGATGGGTAAAAGCCATTTCCCCAGGTTCTCTAGACACTTTGTGAAGGCTCTCAAAATAGAAACCAAGTTTCCCTCTTTTTCAGCCTGAAGCGCAATTCTCAAAGTGTGGCCAACAGCCTGTTTCCCACTGACTTGAGGTGCTTTTACGAGCATTTATTAGTTTATTCAAGGAGCATTTGAGTTCCTACTGTGTGCCAGCTGCAAACAATTTACAGCTTCCTGGACTCCTCACTGAGCCAACCAAGTCTCTAGATGGTGCTTGGGAATCCACCTTTGTTTGGCACCTGTGATTTAATTAGCACATTGAAATTTGAGAACCAGCCACTTGGTTGCAGAGATGGCCAGACCCACTCTCTGCTGACCAAATTCTGCCTGATGCCTGGTTTTGTACAGCCCATGAGCTAAGAATGGTTTTTTTTTTTGATTGTTTTTTAAAGATTTTATTGGGGGAGGGGAACAGACAAGTTGCTGTCTTTTTGTTCTTCAGTCTAGTTGTGGAGGATGTGGCTTCACTGGCCCATGTTGGTATTGTGATCATTGTGCTCTTCCCGGCTGAGGCAAATAAATGGGTTGCCTACCTTTGGACCACTGCTCACAGCAGCTCATGAAAGCTCACGCCCGCTGCTGGGCAGCCCCACTACAGCCTACGCTGTAGCAGGCAACTCAAGGCAGCCCAGCTCCAGGTCGAGCTGTTGTTCACCATCTTAGCTGTAGAGGGCAGTGTCATTGGCCCTCATGTGGGATCTGAACTGGGGCCCTGCTGCTCAGAGCTGGCATCCCAAGCCAACTCCTAACCAACGAGCCACTCTCGGCTGGCCCTAAGAATGGTTTTTACATTTTTAAATGATTGGGGGAAAAATCAAAAGAAGAACAGTTGTTTCATGACAATTGAGAATTATATGAAATTAAAATTTCAGTGACGATAAAGTTTTATTGGATTACAGCTACCCTCATTCATGTGTTGTCCGTGGCTGTTTTTTTTGCTACAGAAGAGTTGAATAGTTGTGACAGACCTCATGGCCACAAAGCCTAAAATACAGAGGGTGCCAAAAAAATGTATACACATTTTAAGAAAGGAAAAAAACTGTACTAAAATTTTAATACTCAGTATATACCAATAACAAATGATGAATACAAGTCATGTGTATATATATATATATATATATTTTTGGCACCTCCAGTATTATCTGGTTCTTTATGAAGAAAGTTTGCCGAGCCCTGGCCTAGGAAAGGAAGGAAGTATGGTAGTATTTGTCTAGAAAAAAAACCTGTGTGGAAAAATCATGTTTAGAAATTAATAGATAAAATGGATTTAGGTAAATTTTATTTTTTAAAAAAGCAGAGGGAATAGTGTATTCTGGATTACTGCAAAAGTATTTAGATAAATTCAAGCATTTAGGATTTTCATAGATTGTGAGCCTGTGCCCTTAATAAGTTGGTTAACCAATATGTTTCTTTTCATAGGCTGGGTAAACTCATGGACCTGATACTTTTCAATTGAGAAACAAACTATCTCAAAAGAAAAATGGCATTTGTTGCAACACAAGGGGCCACCGTGGTTGACCAAACCACTCTGATGAAAAAATACCTTCAGTTTGTGGCAGCGCTCACAGATGTAAATACCCGTGAGTTGATCCTTTTTGTCATTAAGAACTACATTAATGCACCCATTCATCTCAGTTCAAATGCTGTTTCCCTTTCTCTGCTTTGTGGAGAAGCAAAGTGATGAGCATTACTGGCTGGAGCCCCAAAGAGGCCTGTGTGTGTGTGTGTGTGTGTGTGCGTGTGTGTATGTGTCTCCCCTTATCTGTGCATGCACACGTATGGCTGGGAGTATGAATGTGTAACTGGTTGTAGGGAACTAGTTATGGGCCTTCTGTTGGACCATGACAGTCAAACTGATAAGATCTGATTGCTTCTCTTAACTTATTAAACCCAGTAATTCTAGGAACATCCTTAACATAATTTCAATTACCTGATGATTTGTTTTGCCATTTACAGCTGATGAAACAAAGTTAAAAATGATGCAAGAAGTTAGTGAAAATTTTGAGGTATGAATTTTATATTATATACTTTTCATTTTGAGGTAAATATTCTCATGTTTACCTATTGCTTCTCTGTTAGTCTTTTTATTAGTAACTCAGAAAACGTCTCTTAATGTAATTTATTGTATTTTAAAATTGAAATTTGAAAATTTGTACACAGCATTGTCCAGCTTCTTCATACTAGTGATAGTTGCTTTGGTTTTGGTTGTTTAACATTGTTTTATTTTTATTATTATTTTATTATTATTTTTTTAAAGATTTTATTGGGGAATTGTGGGAGGGGAACAGCGTTGGGGAACTGGGGAATTGAGGAAGGGAAACAGACAAGTTGCTGTCCTTTTGTTCTTCAGTCTAGGTGTGGAGGATGTCGCTTCACTGGCCCATATTGGTATTATCATTGCGCTCTTCCTGGGTGAGCAGATCGGTCGCTGGCCGTTGGATGGCTGCTCACAGCGGGTCTTGGCAGCTCATGCTGGCTGCCGACCGCTCACGCCGGCTGCCAGCCACTCACAGTAGCTTATGGCAGCCCACTGCGGCTTCACTGCAGCGGTTGCCGGTGACTCACAGCAGCCCAGCTCCAGGTCAAGCTGTTGTTCACCATCTTAGCTGTAGAGGGCGCAGTGTCATCGGCCCTCACGTGGGATCTGAACCGGGGCTCTGCTGCTCAGAGCTGGCATCCCAAGCCAACTCTTACCCAATGCGCCACTCGGCCGGCCCAACATTGTTTTATTTATTTATTTATTATATTTTTTTAGCTGAGCCATCCTGCTACCTGTTGGCAGCTCAGCGGCTGCTCAGCTCGGGCTGGACTCGAACCGCTGTTGCTCAGAGCTCAAACTCTTAAGTGAGCTCTTAACCAACTGAGCCACTCGGCCGGCCCAACATTGTTTTATTTTTAAATGTGGTAGCTCTTTTAGGCATATACTCTCAGGATGCATTCAAAGTGCACATTTATGTTCAGGCAACAGATAGTATGTAACTGTGGAATGAGAGCTGGATATCAATTTTGCCTCTCTTACTTAAAACTTCTGTGACCTTGATCAAGTAGTTTCTTTCTTCTGGGCCTCATAAACTACAATTTTATATTGTCCCTTAGGTCCCTCAGGCCCTGTTCATTTTTCAGTTGTTTTTCCTCTTTGTTCTTTAGACTGGATAATTTCTGTTGATCTGCCTTCAGGATCAACTGACTATTTTTGTGTCATCTCCAATCTGCTGGGATGTTATTTTTAAATTTCAGTTTATTTATATTTTACTTGCATTTTAAAATTTCAGTCATTATAGTTTCAATTCGAGACTTTCCACTTGGTTCTTTATAGATTTCACTTCTCTGCTGATTTCCTGTCTTCATTTATTAAGACCATATTTTCCTTTTATCCTTTGATCATATTCATAATGACTGCTTTAAAGTCGGTCTGCTAAATGCAATATTTGGGCACTATAAAGGTTGATTTCATTGGCTATGGGTCATATTGCCCTGTTTCTTTGCATGCCTAGTAGTTTTTGATTGTATACTGGACATTGTGTGTGAAATGTAGGGACTGTACATTCTGTTGTCTCCCTTTGAAGCATGTTGATACTTTTATTGTAGTTGGCAGTTCAATTGCCGGTTGATCTTACTGAACTTGTGTAACCTTGGTTTATGCTGTGGTAGTGAGGATCTGTGGGAAGCCCAAGGCGTTTCATCAGAGGTTGAATTTAGGATGTGTTGGGATGGGTCTGGAATAGGCCTTACTCTAGAAAATGGTTCTTCCTCAGCTGGATGTCTGGAGTTTTATCTAGGTGTTAAGAAGGTCTTTGCATTGTGGCTAGGCTGGACCCCCAGCATCCTCCAACATTGCTAGACCTCTGATATCTCTGGTCATCTCTCAGTCCCAAAGCTGCCACTATCTGGTAACCCTCAGGTACTCTTAATGCTACCTTACCTGTAATGCAGCCCAGCCCTCAGTCAAGGCCTCAAGGACACATGGGAGACCATCACATAGGAGACCATCTCCACCCCTGCTCTGTAGTTCCTTTTTCCAGCCGCCCCAAACTCTGGTGTTTGCTCCACAGCTCAGCAGGACCACTGCACTCTCCTTGGGCCCCAGCCTGCTGAGCCTAGTTGGGAAATCGGACCTAGGCAGAGAGCTGATGGTGATCATGTGGTCAGCTTGTGAGTTTCCCTTCTCTTGCAGATCATGGTCTTGCACTGCCTCTTATCCATCACCTGAAAACTGTGCTTCATGTTTTGTCTAACTTTATAGTTAGTATGGTGCCAGTCTCAGGCAGGAGAGAAAGTTACATTTCTTATTTTCAATGTGGGGATGAAAAACCTTTCTCATAGAGTTAATGTGATTAAGAACAAGAGATAAATGTTTCCTAGCCTCTGGCATGGTAAACATTAAATAAATGGAATCAGATACCCTATCTGTAGGAATGGATACTATTTTCATTTGGTGGTTTTTTTTATGTTTGTTTTGTTTGAAATAGATGTTTTCAAAGACTTGCGCCCTTGAACTGAGCTGGAAAAAAATCCAGATATTTAGAGATTGAGCTAAAGAGCTTTCTCTTCTGCCCAAGTTGCTAACGCAAGCTGTTAAAAAAAAAAAAGGTGGGAGGCAGAACAGGAAAGCCCTGCATTCTGCATTTTATTGGAAGAACCGGTAAGAGAGAACCAGAGCCCTGGCAGGTTTATTTGAGAGGCTGACATCAGAGAGTAGTATATGAACCTGCAGGAACGTGCACATTCTCTAGGCCTCTGAGTATGGGCATGGGGCTCTTTGGATAAAGTATCGGACCCCTTTCTCACCTGTTTAGTGTCAGACAGCAAGTTAGTTCCTGGCTTTGGTCTCCCGTGTATTGATTAAATTAGCAGAATTAGAAGTTAGTGAAGCAGTAAGAATACTTGGGCTTTTCCAAACAGTGACTTGAAATCTCTGTGACAGAGACATTCACCTTAAATTCAGATGACTAAGTTCTTCAAAAAATTTGATACTAGAATGATCGTTAGTCGGTTATTCTAAATGACCATCACTAGCATCCCAGAAAAAATATTTAAATGAAGTGAGATTAAAAAAAAAATTCCCAATGATTTCAGGAGTCTTAGAAATTCATTTCACTAATCACTTAGGGGTAAGGTTCTAGGCTAAATATTATAAGTATCACATGGGCCACCTTTTAGGATAGAAAATAAGGAAAACTTTGGGTTAGAAATCACATGAAAACTTCATTTGGATGAAAAAGTTGGGGGCTGGGCCGGCCAACTGTCTCAGTTGGTTAAGAGATGGCTTAAGAGCGCGGGCTCTGAGCAACAGGGCCACCGGTTTGATTCCCACGTGGTCCAGTGATACTGCGCCCGAGCTGAGATGTCACTGAGCAGGATGGCTCAGCTGGTGTAACAACAAGACTGTCTGTTCAATGGTGGGCTACGCCCACCTGCAACTAAGACTGAACTTGACACCTTGAGCTGAGCTGCTGCCCGATGGCTCAGTGGATAGAGCATGTACTCTTAACAGCAAGGCTGCTGGTTCAACTCCCGCATGGGATGGTGGCTATGCCCACCCGCAACTAAGATTGAACACAGCACTTTGAGCTTAGAGGCCACGAGCTGCCGATGGGAAGCCAGATGGTAACTGGCACCTTCCACAATGAAGATCGAAGAAAAACAACTTGGCTTGTCCCCTTCCCCAATTCCGCAATACTGTTCTCCTTCCCCAATTCCCCAATAAAATCTTTAAAAAAGAAAAGAAGTTGGGGGCTGAGTTAAAATACTGGCAGAATAACTGGGCAACTTGTTGAATGAGTCTTTTTTTTTTTTTATGGGAGAAATTTAACACTCAGATTTTGAAGGCTATGGAATCGGTGGTTGGTATGGGTTTCTCTGCGGATAGATGAGCTTGATTTCTTAACGTTCTGGTATGAAGCTTTTCCCTCCTTTCCTTGAATCCTTGAATGTGGGTGTTTCATAAAAAGTCTTTAGCTTTGAGGATGAAAGGTGACAAACACAGTTCTTGTCCCCAGTGAATTCCCGGTCTTGGGGAGAGGCTGCTGAGGTGCTGCACCGCTCCCGGGGTGCTTCCCCCACGGTGTTCTATGCGAACGAGTCCCTAGAATTGTACACCAGGTTGGCCTGGGAGGCTGGTGCTCAGGTGCCTCGTCCAAGAACTGTAGCACTTTGTTTTTGGCCCTGTGGCACCACATTCTTCCTGGTTTTCTGCCCTTTTCTCTATTTCTTCCTTTATACACTTAAGGTTACCTTATGTAATAGACTCCAAATCTTTATCTTCAGCCCAGATCAGTGTCTGGAGTTCCAGGCACTTAGATTTCACTGCCCGGATGCCTCATCTTACAGGTTTTGTCCAATTCATGATAGTGAAAGTTGAACTCTTATACTCCAATCCCTGCCATACTGAACTTTTTTAGTGCCTTTTACACTCATTCTTATAATTTTGTGCCTTTGCACATACTTTTCTTAGAGCCTTCTTTTCCACTTTTTTACATGGTTAACTCCTACTGGCCTTTTAGGTTTTAGTATAAACATCACTTCTTCAGGAGGACAGTCTCTGCCATTGGTTCTATCCGTAAATTATATCCCTTTGTTAGATGTTCCCTTAGTTGCCAGCAGTACTTCCTCCATCATAATGCTGTGTTGTTAGTTCTTTTCTTGATACCTGTCTTTCCCACCAGATGCTGCCTCCCTCATCTCTCAGGGCATGAATTATATACTTCATCATTTTATCTCCATTGAGCACATGATAGGAGCTCAATACATATTTGTTAAATGAGCAAGTGAGAACTTAAAAGGAAAAAAGGACTTGGGTGTTAGATACACTTAATTTGAATCCCATTTCCAAAATGTACCGACTCTGACATTGACCAGGTTTTTTACCTCAGCCTCTTTCTTTAAATGTGAAAATGGGCATAATACTTAGCTTAGGGTTGTGGTGAGGCTGGAGTGAGAGAATAAAAGGTATATAACACAGTATTTATTTAGCACATAGGTGCTCTATAAATAACCTGGTAATATTTAGACAGTGTTATTAGCTTTACATATATTAACTCTTAATCTTTACATGACTACATAAGGCAGGAAATAATATCCTCTTAACAGATGGGTACACTGAGGCACAGAGTTTAAGTAACTGGCGCGTTGGTTAAGAACTGGCTTGAGACGCCAGAGGGCCCCGGTTCGGATCCCACATTTGAGGGCCAGTGACGCTGCCCTCTACAGCTAAGATGCTGAACAACAGCTCAACCTGGAGCTGGGTTGCCATGAGTCGCCGGCGATGGCATAGGCTGCAGCCCCTGCTGCAGTGGGTTGCCATGGGCTACCGTGTGTAGCCAGCAGCCAGTGAGTGGTCAGCAGCCGCAGTGAGCGGCTGTCCAGAAGCCAGCGACTGATGTGCCTCGCTCGGGAAGAGCGCAATGATGGTGCCAATTTGGGCCAGTGAAGCAACGTCCTCCACAACTAGACTGAAGAACAAAAGGACAGCAACTTGTCTGTTCCCCTTCCCCCAATTCCCCAGCACTGTTCCCATCCCCCCAATTCCCCAATAAAAATCTTAAAAAAAATAAAAAAAATAAAAAAAATACTGTTTTCAAACTGTAGTTTCATTTCTTATTTTCCTTTTAAAATCAGTGCTGGGATAAATAATGGATTAGGTTTGATAATCTAATTCATATAGACTTAATTAATAAATTAGATTTTTAGGTTGGAAAAAGGTATCAGTTTGTTTAGGCTCTTTATCTTCCACATGAAACTCAGCTTTAGAAGCTAAATAACTTTTCAGAGGTCTTAAAGTGTATCAGAGCCAGCCTAGACCTGGCTTCAAGTTCAGCATTTCCATAGCATTAGTACTTGTAGTTTTAAGAGTAACTTTTAGCATTTGCTTCTCTTGAGTTGGATTTCAGAAGTAACAATCATCCTAATTTGTTTAAAAATACATTATCACTAAAGCATCTAAAAGTATTAAAAATTACTGTTAGGTCTTTGAAAATGATTTATATTCTTTTGAGGCTGTTATGACACTGTAAATTTGAAATGAAAATATGTACACACACTTAATGGGATTTTCTTTTATATTTGCATAATTAGAATGTAACGTCATCGCCTCAATATTCTACATTCCTGGAACATATCATCCCTCGATTTCTTACATTTCTTCAAGATGGAGAAGTTCAGTTTCTTCAGGAGAAACCAGCCCAGGTAATCTGTTTAAAAATATCAATGAGAAAAAAAAACGTCATGTAGGATTGCAAGCATTTATGAATTAAAACAACTCAAAGAAACTTATGGTTCCACTTAAAAATGAGAGATTTGTCACATAAGGATGACTTTGCGCAGGGCCATTGCCTTCTCAGTTAAATGTCTTGGTTTTATTTTGCCCTGGCCATCTCTTTTACAGTTCACATGATATTCTGGTAATGTGTGTACACTGTTATAAATGAATTAGAATGTATACAGAACAAGGAATGGTAGTTTAATGACCCTCCCCATACCTGTTATCCAACTCTACTCTTATTAATTTCAGTTCTTGTAACTCATGGCTAATTTTGGTTTATAGCCCCACCCACTCTTTTTTCACCTTTTATTCACCTTGATTATTTTCAAATAGTCCATATCCATATCATTTTTTCTATAAATATTTCAGTATGTATCTCTTAAAAATAACTCTAAAAATATTACCATAATACCAGTGAATGTATATTGCTAAATAAAGCATTTTCATATCATACCTGTTCAAGATCTATATATTTGATCTACCTTTTAGTTATCAGCTTCATGGACAGAATCATGAAAGTGTAGTACAACTTGTGATGGAATTAGTCCTTGGGCCCAAGGTAATTGGAGAGAGCATTATAGGAACTAAACTGAGATTATGAAGGCAGATCTCAAATGAAGTTCCGTTTATTTTTGCTCTTTCATCTTAAATCCATTCCACATTCACACACTAGTGTCCTTTCTGCTGGAAATAAGGTGTGAGAGAGGAAAAATTTGGCTTATTTGAATTGGTACATAGTTGTAGAAATAACTGAAAGTATTTGGATTCATTGAAATAATTTATAGGACTCTATCTAAAGTGGGATCCATCCTGTAGTGTGGTTATCAGTGCTGGGCACACACGGCTAGCTGTGTGACATTTGTAGAATGTGAAAGAATTAACTTTGGAACTCTTGGAAAGAGTTTGTATTTATGTTTTTTATTTTTTTCCACCAGCAACTGCGGAAGCTAGTTCTTGAAATAATTCATAGAATACCAACCAATGAACATCTTCGTCCTCATACAAAAAATGTTTTGTCTGTGATGTTTCGCTTTTTAGAGGTAACCGTTGAGAATTCTTGTTATTTAGCCATATTCAAAATGTTCAATGATTTTTTTATTGTAAAATCCAGTGTTATACAACATTTTCTCTTTCACTAAAGTCCTGGTTCACATGAGTAAATTTTCTTAATTTCTGTTTTTCCTCATTTTGCCAACCAAATTACTAAGAAACAGTATTAGTTGAATTGTTGAAGTTTGTTTTTTGAGTCACTGGGAAATTGACTAGACAGAATGGTAATTTTTGAAAATGAGTTGGGTGGTGGTTGACAAGCTTAGTACAGGGTTCTTTGGGTTCATGCTTCCTAGTTTTGTGTATGTCAAGCACAGTAGATACTCATAAAGAGTTGCTCATATTCTTGGGGCTAATTCATCTGGTACCTGTTAAGTTAACCTGTAAAATTTGTTTTCTTGCTGTTCTTAGTCCTAATGTGTTTAGAATTCTGTTGTGTTTCTGGGCCCCTAGCGAAGATGAGTTGTGGAGGGGGAGAGAGCTGGATTCAGATCCCTGCTCTACCATTTATTAGGTGTGTCACGTTAGCTATGTTGCTTACCTTCTCCGAGCCTTAGCTTCCTCGTAGGTATACAGTGTGGGTGGCACCCCCAACTCAGAGTGTGTGTGAAATGTTTAGCACAAGGTCCAATACATGGTGGGTGCTCAGTAATGGTTTATTCTTTTTTTTTTTTTTTTTTTTTTAAAGATTTTATTGGGGAATTGGGGGAGGGGAACAGACAAGTTGCTGTCTTTTTGTTCTTCAGTCTAGTTGTGGAGGACGTCGCTTCAGTGGCCCATGTTGGTATTATTGCACTCTGCCCAGGTGAGGCAGTCGCTCGCCGGCCATTGGACGGCCTCTCTCGGCGGCTCACAGCAGCTTGCGAAAGCTCACGCCCGCTGCTGGCCAGCCCCGCTGCAGCCTATGGCATCGCTGGTGACTCACAGCAGCACAGCTCCAGGTTGAGCTGTTGTTCAACATCTTAGCTGCAGGGGGAGCAGCGTCACTGGCCCTCATGTGGGATCTGAACTGGGGCCCTGCTGCTCAGAGCTGACATCCCAAGCCAACTCCTAACCAACGTGCCACTTGGCCGGCCCCGTAGTTGTTTATTCTTTTGGCAATACTTTCAAACAATGGAAAGTATCAATTGGGCCTTTAGACCTTTGTTTACGGTGTGACTTACCGTAAATGCCTGTTAACTTACCTGTCAGAGTGTTCGTCACCAGAACTCACCAGTGGGATGCCCTTCAGATGGTCTGCCAAAGACCTCAAACGCTCCCTGCCTGGGTTAGCTGTGTTCTGTGGGCTAATGATTTTCAGTATATCAGATCTGAGTTGGTTGATGGAGGGTGTGTATGCAGAAAAATGCTTAGAAAATAGTCTTTAACCTTTAGATTAAAATAAGTTCTCAGGATGATAACTCTTAAATGCTTTTTTTTTTAAGACGGAAAATGAAGAAAATGTTCTTATTTGTCTAAGAATCATTATTGAGCTACACAAACAATTCAGGCCACCCATCACACAAGAAGTAAGTGTTTATCCTGATAGATTTTATAACGCGTGCTAACAAGTTTCTTCTGTGTAAATTTTACTCTCTTTTAGCGCTGACAACACATGATGCTTTCAAGTGTAGAAAATACAGCCTAAGTTGGGAGAAATTCTTTATGGGTTTAACAGTTACCTTTTTTATTTTGCATGTTATATACCTGAATAGTTAATTGAGTTTGTTCAGCATTTGATATCTATTAACCAGTCACACTGGCAGGGCTGTTAGGATTGTTCTGGTATTCACGTGTGATGTGCCGGAAGGCTGCATTCATTTTATGTTATACAGGGTTTAAGATGTGGGTTCTGAAGTCAGCTGGGTTTGTACCTCAGCTCTGCAATTCAGTAGCTGTGTGACACTGGGTAAACTTCTAGTGTTTTGGAGCCTTTCCTGTAAAATGAGGACAGTCACAGTGTATCCTCAAAGAATGCTTAAAGAATTAAAATGTCAAAGTTGAAATTCTTAGCACAGTGATTGACACCTATAGAGGAAGCATGAATTACTTTGTTAGCAATAATTAATACAATATCTTCTCTGATGATAACCTTAGTAAATGCCTATTGTAGATTATTTGGAAATTAGAAGCATAATGATGAAATAAAATGCCCTCCATTTTAAAAACAATATTGATTTTCTTTCCTTTTCCCCACCTTATGTATATGTATATTTTTTACATAATTGCAGTAATGTTGTATATGACATTTTATATCCTTATTGTTTCCTTTCACATTCAGTATATGTAAGCATTTTCCCAATCATAAAATTGTTTTATAAAGTTAATTTGTGCGGGAGTCCCGCGGTTCCCAGGGTTCCCTCAGGTGAGGACGTAGTGGAGGGGGGGGGGAGTGGAGACACAGGGAGCGTTTTGAAGTGTCACACTTTATTTTTACAGCATGTCCCTTTTTATAGTGGGCAGTTGACCATTATCTCATTAGTAAAAAGTTCTTTTACATAGTTTCTATCAGGGTTTTACTTCTCTTAATTTTTATGCTCCAGGGTACAGCTTGACCTTTTCTATGCTAAAGATCAACTTATCTTAACTGTTTTAATCCTTTTACCTATAATGACTATGGGACTAAGGCTGAGTTTCTACATAATCACCTAAAGAATGGTTACCATGATTACTCAACAATTATCCTAAACACTATTAGCTAAGCAGGATCTTAAGATTTACAGGGTGTGTACTTTGACCTTTACTAAGAGACTAGCAGTGTGACTAAAATTGCCTTTAGTGTATAGGGTAAAATTTCTTTAATACAGCTAAAATCTACTTATTTGTGATTAAAGTAATCAGTATTCAAAAGGGGTATTAGATCTTCATTCTGATTTGGGGTACATCAAAAGGGGGCTGGATTTTCCACATAAGAAGGAGGTATCTGTTTCTCATCAGAGCTTCAGAATTTGCCACAATAATATTATGCTTGGCAAGGAACCCAATTTATAATTTTTATCTCTCGAGGCAAGAGATATTACAAGACCAACCATAAGGCAGTGCCCCAGACATCCAGCGCCGTGCGTGGATGTCCACCTCGATGCGACCTTGTCAGACACTGAGGCGCAGCCGGCTCCCAACAAATTTGTAATTGATGTATAATATTTTTACATACGGTTGCCCTTATGTTTGGATATTTAAAATATTTCAAAGATTTTTATTTTATGACTATTAGTGAATATCTGTTTGTAGTTCACATTACTTCATAGATGGGGTTTGTTTAAATAGAATTACCAGGTCAAAGGTGTTAACGTTTTTATGCTCCTGGTATATACAGGGTGCCAAAATAAAAAAATGTATACACATTTTAAGGGATGTTGTGCATACATTTTTTTGGCACCCTCTATTATTAAACTGCTTTCCAGAAGGATTTCAGTAGTTCATGCTTCCCTTAGCATCTGAGAGTCTTCCTCTCCTTGTACTCTCTCCAGCATGGTGTAGTATTTTTTTTTTTTTTTTCGCTGGGGAATTGGGGGAAGGGGAACAGACAAGCTGCTGTC